CTATGGGCCCTGCGCTGGAGCTTCCTCGGGCTCTCTCTGGCGTTGTATTGCAAGTTTTTGAAGTGACTGACTCAAGAAGAGTTTTAGTTACCCTGATAGCATCATAGTCTTCTGAAACACAAGCCCAAGCTTTAAGTGTAAAATGCTCTTTCACCTTATCATCATTGTAAAGCATGCGGGCAAGGGTTGTCTTGCCAACCCCGCCCATTCCAACAATGGTGATGAAGGACACATCCTCCTTGCTTGCATCATCAGAGAACAACACTTTTGATAAATTTTCTTTGACTTCTTCTCTACCATAAATATAAGGTTCATGAACCAAGGAAGTTGTTGGAGTTCTTTGTAAAACCTTCCTCCCAACAACTTCTGTCAAACCAAGAGCACCTTTCAATTGTGCAAAGTCTTCTAATTTTCGTAACAACTCTTGTATCTTAACATTCATGCTTTGATAAAACTTATTACGAGAAGTAGGGAGGAAGTTCCGCACCTTGTTGGTTAATTTGTCGGCTGTTTGAACTTCACCTTCCAGCTTGCATCGCAAGGCTTCATAGTTGATCTCATCCAGCAAGTCCTCAGCATCAAAGACTGCGTGTTTGAGGTCATCAAGCCACTCTCTCACAGCTGGTTTCTCAATTTGTTTCTCCTCTGCATCATCGAGCACTGCGTTCAAGGTCAACAGCGTCCTCTTCAGTTTCATGAGGAGAGGTTGATCGAGTTTCTTGTGCCGAAATAAGTCGACGAACTTGGGTGAAGCAATTCTGTAACAAATCACCTGGATGGAAGCAGAAATAAAGGCCTCTCCGATCAAAGCTCCAGCCATTTTTCTCTTCTTTTCTTTGCAAGGGAATTGGATGAAGTAATATTCCAAGGTTCGCAGATAGCTCGGCTAGCACGACTTGGAAATACAGTTAAGGCAGTATGAAAGCTTTTTATGGTTGAAATTATATATTATCTATTTAACAAGTACCGTTGGTTGGCTGTTTTGTCAGTGTTCGAGTTTTTTAGCGCAATTGATGATAATTTAAATTAAATTATAGTTAAAAATTTCTTTCTCTTGGGGACAAGTTTTTCAAACTTTTCTTTGCCCTCAAATTGGGAGGGTTCGTCAATACCATTATGAATTCAAATTGTGCAGGTGGGTTCTTGGGACCCACACGGCCTAAGGAATAATACTCCGGTGTGGACTGTTGGAGAGTGGAGGATGACAAGACAACAACCACAATTCAACGGTCCGCAAGTGGAACAGACTCGAATGCCATTAAACTCTTTGTGAATCTGCGGCTCTTAACATATTTCAATAGATAAGGTAGAGGGAAGAAAAGTGGGGGTTTATTCAATCCATAGAGCTCACAGATGCTTAATGACTTGTTTCATAAGACTATTATCATAGAGTTTTATACACTCTTTTGTTTATTTTATGAATAGTATTATCTTTTAATATTTATCAAAGTAGTGTATAACCAAAAGGAAATTACTTATAATATTTATCTTTTGTATATGATAACTCATGAGAACATACATGAAACCAAAAATGTAGCAAAAAAATAATTTGGTACATTTTTAGATTGATTATGTATTGATATCCACCACGGGGTATGTTTTTACTTGTGGTGGAGAACTGAA